GTTTTTTGTGTCTGGCTTATTTTTCTTAGCATTAGGCTTTTGGGATTCATCCGGGTTGTCACATGTATCAGTAGTTTGTTCCTTTTTCTTGCTGAGTAAGTGTCCCAGTTTTATTTATTTGTTTATTTATTTATTTATGAGAAGGAGTCTCACTGTGTCACCCAGGCTGGAGTGCAGTGGCGCGATCTTGGCTCACTGCAACCTCCGCCTCCCAGGTTCAAGCAATTCTCCTGCCTCCCCAGTAGCTGGGATTACAGGTGCCTACCACCATGCCCAGCTAATTTTTATATTTTTAGTAGAGACAGGGTTTCACCATGTTGACCAGGCTCGTCTCAAACTCTTGACCTTAGGTGATCCGCCTGCTTCCAGCTCCCAAAGTGCTAGGTTTACAGGCATGAGCCACCGCGCCTGGCCCCAGTTTTATTTATTCACCAGTTGATGGTCTTTTAGACAACTAATTGTTTCCAGTTTTTGGCTATTCTGTATAAGGCTTCTATGAATATTAACAAATACCTAGGATGGGATGACAGGGTCATATCATAATACTATACATAACTTTAGCAAAAACTGTCAAACTATTTTCCAAAGTGGCTCTTCCATTTTACAATTCCACAGTGTCTTGAGTCCCAGTGTCTCCATACACACGCTAGCACTTTTAATTTTTAATTTAGTGGGCATGTAATGATACCTTATTGTGGTTTTAATTTGCATTTCTCTGCAACTAATGATGAGTGTTTTTGCTTATTTGGGAAGGTTTTAATTTAGCAGTCTGTTGTATTCTGTAGATATTAAGAACTTCAAAATATCAGTGGCATTTGCAGTTAAAATTTCTTTAAAAAATTGGCCAAAGGTTTCCAGCCGTCACTTCTGCCATGCCCAAACTGTATGAAACAAGGCTGAGGTGTGGAGATGGTCACATTTTGGCAAGAGGGAATCACTTGGGTGACTGATGAGACCCAGAGAGAGTGTGCCTTGGGGCTTGAGGGTGACGACGGGCGGAAAGTCGACTGCATAGCCCTGCTGGCCTTGGGGGCTGCCCAGTCCTTAGCTAAACCTGGCGGTTATGGGAAGCAGACTTAGATTCTATTATATTTTTCAGGATGCCCCAGGAGTCACCTGGGCAGCTCAGCAGTCCTTTGTGACTTTCAAGCATATGGTAGAAGCTGCTGAACACAGAGCTCCCTCTCTGGGGATAATTTGCCGAAATCATTTAATCAAGCTTGAGAAATGAGTTACCACAGGCACAGGAGTGCCACCACCCTTGAATTCTGGCACCCTATTTCTCCTGTCCATCTCTTAATTAATTAAGCAGACATCCCCGAGAGTTTACGACAAGCCAGGACCCTTTTGCATACTAAGGAAAACAGGGATGAAGGAAACAGGAATGGTCCCTGCTCTGACTCAAAAGGTAGAAATCCTCTTTCACAGCCAAGCCTTCCTAGGGAGCACGTAGGAAGGGCTCTGAACCCACATGTCAGTTGCGGGGGAGGAGATCAGGAAAGGATGTTGAAGAAGTGGAGACCTAAGTTTAAGACCTAGGAGTTAGCCAGGCCAGTAGTGCTTGAAAAGGTGTCTTAAGACAAGAGAAGCCACCAGTGAAGTCCCAGTGGTAGGAAAGTGTGCAGCATATTCTCAGCCTGTACACACACCCAGGGCATTGCTTAGCAGGTAGGGAGTGGTGAGAGAGTAGGCTGGAGTCCCAGAAGGGAGGCCAGGTAGACCTTGGTGAGCACTGGACTCTATGTTCAGGTGCTGAGGAGCTGGCAAAAGGTTTTAAGTGGGGGAGTGGCATATTCAGATATTTGGTCTAGCTGAGTAACTTTGGGTGCTCTGTGGCAAATGGATGGGACACCAGTGAGGTGGCGGTTGTGGTCATCTAGGAGCAGGATCAGAGTGGCCTATTGACTGGGATGTCTGTGAAGTGGGATCCTTTCCAGCCAGTAACTGGAAATGTGTATAAAGGCAGAAGTGAGTGTGCTGCATTTGAAACATTGAGAAATCTAGTACATAGTACTGTCTCTTTTATAGCTTTTTTTTTTTTTTTTTTGATTTTGGTTTGTTTGTTCACTAACTTGGAAAACTGATGTGGAAATGTCCCTTTGGCTTCAGTTACCTCAGCAAAAGGGGCCGGGCCTTGCCAAGCCCTCCTCTTAGGACAGAATTGCTCCCAGTATTGATCATTGTGTTCTGAGATGAGGGAGCAAATTGTGCAGGAGGCCAGGTCAGTGCCAAGGTGGGCGGGAGGAATTGGAGCAGGAAGCGTGCCTATTTGTGCCCAGCAAAGCCACAGCAGAACTTTCTACTGTGGCTCTATGCTACTTCTTACCAACCTTCTCCGTGTGCTTCCTGGAGAGTCCTTGGAGTCAGAACCGGTTTTTTTTGGAAACCCAGACACTTTACTTCCAAGAAAATGCTGTCCAAGAAAACTCATCCTTCCCTCCTTCTCATGAACATTGTGTAGAGGTGTGTCTTCTCTTTCTTTGAGCTTCTCCACTCAGGGTTTAGGGGAGGTGATATTCTGTATTTGGGTTTGGCTCTGGGTACTGCAACATTAAGCTATTTAGATTTCATCCTTCCTGCCCCTCCTACCTTTCCAGAAACCCACAATGGATTTGCTAGAAATAATGGAAAGTCCTGTTTAGACAGGATATAACCATTTCTCAGCTAGAGGATATTGTTGGAATGAAGAAAGATAAATGGGGAGAAGGGAACTCACATTGCTTTGGCACTTACATTAAGCCATGTACTGTGTTGGGAACTTATTTATATTATCACGTTGAATCCACAGAACACCATACAAGGTAAGTGTTGTTATCATTTTACAATGAGGAAACTGATGCTTAGAGAGCATAAAGCCTTGGCCAGGGGCACATAGTTGGGAAGCCGGGGCTAATTCATGCCCGGCCTCTTTCTGGTAGTTTTCCTTTTTTAATTGTACCCTCCTCAATGTTACCTTGGGGATCTGAAAAGGTTCATGTAGCTTCTAAGTCAACGAAGTGATTCCTGGAGAGCAGCTTCCGTATGAGAAAAATCTAGGTAATTATTTCAGTGTTTCTGGAATGCAAGCTCCGTCCTGAGCCATTTAGAAGACAATTTGGGATGACAAGCATGTGTCTCACAATGCTGTTCTGGCTGCCAGTGCTGTGCTGCCAGTTGTCATCTTTGAACAAACTGATGCATTGCTGCTTTAATTCGTCCTCTTTTTGGAGTAAGAAACTTTGGAGGTGTGTGTCCTTCTAGAATTTTGCTGAGCAAATGGTAAAGAAAAGAAATAGGTCCTAAGGCTTGACTATTTCAGAGAATTTCTTGATTTATTGGACTGTCAGTGAATGAATTAGAATACATAGTGGTAGGCTGTCTTTTCTTCTGAGACACTGCAATTTCCTCCAATCTCTTGACTTTTCTAGAAGTTTTAATTCAAGTCCTTGTTGGGTGGGAGATAAAAGGGTATTGTTCTACTAGAGACTGACCTTGGCATGGAGATCTCATTTGGACTCACAGATTTCTAGTCTAGTGCTTGATTTTATATCCATACCTCACTACTGCATTCTTAGTTCCTTCTGCTCCTTGTTCCTCATGCCCAGTGTCCCACCCTACCCTTGCCCCGACTCCTCTAGAGGCCACGGTGATTCACTGAGCCATTTTATAAGCAGAGCTAGGAGAGTTCATGGCTACCAAGTGCCAGCGGGGCCGAATTTTCACCTGTGTGTCCTCCCTTCTTCCATTTTTCATCGTTTGCCCCCTCCCCAGCTTTAACTTTAGTATAACTACTTGGGACTATTCCAGCATTAAATAAGGGCAACTGCTGCATGGGTGGCTGGGACACACAGAAAGTAGTATCCCTTGTTCATGAGAAGACCTTCTTGCCCTAGCATGGCAAACAGTCTTCCAAGGAGGCACCTGTGACACCCAACGGAGTAGGGGGGTGGTGTGTTCAGGTGCAGGTGGAACGAGGCCAGAAGTGTGCATATGTGCTGCCTGTGGGAGCTTGTTTGTTGGTTTCACAGTTGATGCCCTGAGCCTGCCGTAGCAGACTTGTTTCTCCATGGGATACTGTTTTCTTTCCAGAGACACAGCTCTAGGGTTGTCCTTATTACCTGAGAGCCAGGTGTCGGTGGCATTTTCTTGGTGTTTACTCACACTCATCTAAGGCATGTTGTGGCTTTCCAGATTATGAAACTGTGCTTTATTTATTTATTTATTTATTTGAGATGGAGTCTTGCTGTGTCGCCAGACTGGAGTGCAGTGGTACAATCTTGGCTTACTGCACCTCCACCTACCGGGTTCAAGCGATTCTCCTGCCTCAGCCTCCCGAGTAGCTAGGACTACAGGCGCCTGCCACCACACCCAGCTAATTTTTGTGTTTTTAGTAGAGACGGAGTTTCATTGTGTTGGCTAGGATGGTCTCGATCTCTTGACTTCATGATCCTCCTGCCTCGGCCTCCCAAAGTGCTGGGATTACAGTCTTGAGCCACCACGCCCGGTCAATGGTGTTTTTTATCATTTGAAGGACTCAGTTGTGTAACCCACTGAAACTTTAGTCTGTAAGGAAGTTCAGGGAATAGTATAAGTCACTCCAGGCTTGAGGCAAAATTTACAAATGCTGCTGACTTTCTAAGTAAGGGGAGGCATTTTCTTAGAGAAGAGTTAGATCTCTGGGATTCCACTATGCCATTTCCATCCTCAGTGTTCTGGCCACCTGAGAGAGGTCTATTTTCAGAAATGCATTCTTCATTCCCAAATGATAACATCCATGGAACTAAAATGATTAGGACCATAACAACTAGCTCCTAGCCTGCTGTCGGAACACCTCCCGAATCCCTCTTTGTGGGTGAACCCAGAGGCTGGGAGCTGGGGACTCATGACCCATTGAGAAGCAGTCATGACTCAGAGCTGTGTGTTGGAGGTCTCAGCTGAGAGGGCTGGATTAGCAGTCCTCACTGGTGTATGGCTTTGCAGCAATAACTGACGGCTGTTTCCCCTCCTGCTTTATCTTTCAGTTAATGACCAGCCACGGCATCCCTGCTGTGAGCTCTGGCCGCTGCCTTCCAGGGCTCCCGAGCCACACGCTGTGGGTGCTGGCTGAGGGAACATGGCTTGTTGGCCTCAGCTGAGGTTGCTGCTGTGGAAGAACCTCACTTTCAGAAGAAGACAAACAGTAAGCTTGGGTTTTTCGGGGGGGTTCTCTCATTCTTCTTTGTGGTTTTGAGTTGCGAATTGGAGGAGGGAGGGAGGGAAGGAAGCTGTTTGGTTTTCACACAGGGATTGATGGAATAATCTGGCTCTTACAGACAGAGGACTGTGTGGTCCGGATATGGCGTGTGGCTTATCATAGAGGGCAGATTTACAGCCAGGTAGAAATAGTAGCTTTGGTTTGTGCTGGTGCCCAGGCATGAGTTCTGATCCCTAAGACCTGGCACCAAATTGCCTGACCACCCCACTTTTTCCTTTTGCCGCAGCCCTGGGAGCCACTTGGCTCTCCAAAAGCCCCTAATGGGCCCCTGTATTTCTGAAAGCTGTGAGTAAAGCGAGTTAATGGCCCCACTCTTAGAGATCAATACTGGGTGTCTTGGTGTCAATCTGGATTCTTTCCTTACAGATTTGTGTCAGGCCTGGAGGAATATAATAACTGAGACTTGTTTTATTTCTGCGGAGGGTTCTAAGCCATTCACTTCCCAGATGAGCCAATAATGCTTTGAGTAATCTGGAGATCATGTTTAATGCGCAGGTGAATGGAACTGTTCCACAGACGGATGTGAGGGCTGTAGGGCAGAGTGAACTCCCTGAAGCTCAGACGTCAGCTCTTTGTCTCTCTATCTCTGAACACCCTTCCTTAGAGATCCCATCTGTAGGATGCATTTCTCTGTAGTTAGTTTCTACGTCTCTTGTTCCTGGTCCGCCTTTATTTATTTATTTTTATTGGATTCTAAGCCCGTATCCCCACTTGGCTATCTTAATGCGGCTTCACATGTCTGTAACAAAAATGATCATCTTTCTGAGATTCAAAGGGCTACACGGGACTTTGGAGAGAATTTCATTCAGTTTTCCTCAAACTAGAATAATGCTTGCACTGTCTGTAAAAGAACAAAAGTGTCAAAGCACCCTTTTGTTCACTAAATTTCTTTTTTATTATAGTGTTACTTAAATATGTACATATGTAAAAGTAGATATAAACTTATAGGCTATTATTATACAACTACATGACCCACACATATTTACAAATTAAGTGCAAACAAAATTATCCAGTCAATACCATTCAAATTAATACCTTAAATATGGTGAGGCAGTTGTTGTTCAGCCGAAACCAAATTATAAGTTGCATGGCAGTAAATGCCGTCGTGCTGAACTTTTGGAGTTTGGCTAGTCTATATTATCATGTACTAATGATTGAATTCTCCACCCATGTTTCTACTTGTACAACCTTAATTTGATGGTATTTGGCTTTCATTGGGTCCAGTCTCATCTTTTATAAGTTGAGTCCGCACCTGTTCCATTCTCATGAGTTTGCTACAATTATACTGGTGCCAACACAATCATAAACACAAATGTAGACTTGGGCTTTGAAATCTTATGCCAGAACTTGGCTTTAAAGTAAGCATTTAAAAAATCCATATGTGTTTATTAGACTTGGTTTAGGTGACGATTGAAATGAAAATAAAGTGTTTAAAATCCTCCTAGAGAACTTAAATATAATCCCTCAGCAATGTGTATACAGGTCTTCATTTGAGAAAAACTGATTGTGTTCCGCCTCTCCTGTTACAAATGGGGAACCTGAATTCGCAGGTCTCTAGTGAGAGAACACGGACTAGAATCTATGGATCCTATCTGTTTTCTGTAATTGTAAAGTATAATAAGATAATATTATATTAATATAATAAAAGCAAACACTTAGAATGAGCTTCCATGTGCGAGGCACTACCTGATTAGGCATTATTAACTAGATTTATTCCTTTTAAGGCCCTGTGATGTACTGTTATTTCCACATGTTGTAGCTGGGAAACGTGCTACTCAGGTTAAGTAACTTGTCTGAGGTCCATACTACTAACAAGGAGCACAGCTAGGGTTCAAATCCAGATCATCTGACTCTGGAGCGAGCACTCTAACTCACTGTGCCAGATTGCTTTGCAGTGGTATCATTATTTTGCCTATCCCCCATCTGAGAATATTGAGGTTTCTGATGCCTTCCTTGCCTTTCTCCCTGCCTTCCATGGTTATTCCCAAGTCTTGGTGTTCTAGTCCTCTATGTCCGTCATTACTCTTATTCTTTCACTATGGTGTGGTCCAGGGCTCCTGCCCCTTCTTATCCTGGTGGAAGGGGCCCATTTGCTGGGAAATTGTCTCTGCCATGGTTTATCCATGTTATGTGTCTGTTAATGAGTAGTGGGAAGAATCATATCATCTTGGCAATGAAAGGAGGGCTATGGCTCTGGGGTAGTCTAGTCTGAACCTCTTATTTTACAGATGAGAAAGCTAAGGTACAAAGCAGGAAAGGGATTTCGCCAAGGTCACCCAGCCAGCCACTGAGCTGCAACCAGAAGCTGAGATCCCTAGGACTAGGGCCAAGCCTCAGTCTGTCCCATCACAGTGACTTTTCTTCCCTCCTCCAAACTATTTTTATTTTTTATTTTTTTGCAACTTCATAGCAACTTGAAGGTAGCAGAAAGGGCAGAGAAGAGGTTTTCCGTGCTTAGCCAGGGAAGGAATCCTGCAACAGGATGTGGGGTTGGGTCATTCAAATTGGGCCAGACTCCACTGGTCTTGTTGCTTCTTGCTGGGTATTGCAGATGGGTTTAGAAGTGTTAGGATTAGAGAGATGGGCAGGTTTAGCCAAAGGCAGTTTGTAGCCTTACGGCCTAGTTGTTGTTAAAGAAGGAAGTGGGATGCAACACCCTGACACAAAGGGGCTTAAGTTGTTACACCACTGCCTGCTAGCCTGTTTTCCTTACCTCCCTTCCTGATTTCTAAAGGAAGTGTATTTTGCTGAATCAGAAAGAAAAGTGATTTATTTCAGGTTGCTGATGCTTAGATTGTTAGAGTTGGAAAGATCTGGCTTGCACCTTGTACAATTGACAGAACTGGGGTTCAGGGGGGCACAGGTGTCCAGCGTTGGTCAGTCAAGAAAGTAGCACCAGAACCAGTCTCCTCGTGGCCCTCCAGTTGCAGATCCTTTTTTGCTTTGCTCTCTCTGCATGCTAAAGCTCCTGTGTCTCGGAATCTCAAGTTTTGACTGATGGCTGCTTCCCAATCCACCTGGTTTAGATTTCTAGATTATATTGTTTAGACATCAGAACCTCTTAAGGGTTGTGGGGCCACCTTGTTAGTTCACATAGTGAGAACCAGCCCTGCCCATTAGGTAGGGGAAGAAGTTAGCAGTCCATGATAGCTGTTGCCTGCAGTGTATGGAAGTTCATTGCGCAATTCCTGTCTCCTGAGATCCTGGAGTGTATACGCTTGGCCTCAGAGCCCAGCACAGAGCCTGGCCCTTGGGACATGCTTAGTAAGTATTTACTGAATGAGTGGGAAATGTCTTAAGTCCCATTGGTTTGCAGGCCTTGAGGAGGCTCCCTTGCACTAGGAAGAATACTAAGAATACGTAAAGCCTGTCTGCTGCTGCCAGGAACATAGAAACACTATGTTTGGCCTGGAGCTGAACAGTATACCCCAGAGCAACACTGTTGAAAGGCAGTGCTTGCCTTTTCATTCTGTGTCCTGGTTTGCTGGTAACTCCTGGGTCCCCCGCTCTCCTGTGCCCCCATTATGCAGACTCACAGGGAATCATCAGCCAGGGTTAGTTTTCCGCTGTTTCTGTTAGGCAAAGAATAAATTGAATTGAGTTGTGAAAGTTGGGTGCAAAGCTCAGTTTGGTTCCAAAGTAACAGTTAACTTGTGTGGGTGGTAGGTATTCAGTACAAACAGGGCTGGGGACAGGAAGGGGAAGAAAACTTCAGAGATTTCAGGATCCTCATCTGGTTTTAGGCTGATCCAGAGGCCAAGGTTCCCATGGAACAAACTGGACAAAGTGAGAGTGGCCATATCACCTCTTTTCTTTTGCCTTTATTATTAATTTTCTCAAATAGATCTGACTAGTCATGTGGCTGGGAAAGTAGTTAATTGTGATTTTTTTTTTTTTTTTAAACTGAGTCTCACCCTATCACCTAGGCTGGAGTGCAGTGGCACGATCTCAGCTTGCTGCATCCTCTGCCTCCCGGGTTCATGCAATTCTCATGCTTCAGCCTCCCGGGTTCAAGCAATTCTCATGCTTCAGCCTGCCGGGATTACAGACGCACAGCACCACACCTGGCTAATTTTTGTGTTTTTAGTAGAGACGGGATTTTAGCATGTTGGCCAGACTGGTCTCGAACTCCTGACCTTGAGTGATCCACCCACCTCGGCCTCCCAATGTTCTGGGATTACAGGCATGAGGCACTACCCCCAGCCAGAGTACCACTATTTGGGCATTCTTTAATGAAAAAGAATGAACCATCCAAAAATTAAAACTCCTCATTTATGAGCGTTTAGAGAATTTTGCAGAGTAGATGGAAACGCTCTGCATCCTTTCCCCACTTCTGGTTTCACCTGACACATTTCTTCCCTGTCCTTACTCCTGGACCGGCAGCAGTGGTCATGATTCCAATCCCAGCCTGGCCACCATCTGTCTCAAAGGCCTAGGAAAACTCCTTTCTCCAGAGCTGTAGTTTTCTCTTCTACGGAATGAAGAAAGTTAAAACAAATAGAAATTTATTGTTTCATTTGGATAAATATCTATTAAGCACCTATTACTTGTGGGATGGTTAGCTGGGTATCTAGTGGTGAAGCAGTCAGGCATGAGTACTGTTTTCATAGAGCTTACAGTTCAGTGAGGCCAGCAGATGTGAAACGTATCATCATGCAAATAAAGATATAACTGTAAACTGTGATGAGGATTATGAAGGAAAAAAACCGACAGACTGTGGTACTGGTGTTAGATACTAGCAGATGTGGTTAGGGATTTCATTTAGAATGACAGATCGTGACATTAAAGCTGAGAGCTCTGAAGTTCGAGCAATGGTGAGCCAGGCAAAGATCAGAGGCCTAGAGATAGGGAAATCCATTCCAGGCAGAGAGACTGGGGGTGCCTGTCCCCTAGGTCAGGGAACAGAAGAAAGCCAGTGGCACTGG